AGCCTCTTCCAGCTCTATGAGTCAATGACCATGCTTAGCAAGGTGTCTTCAGTGATCAGGAACGGAATCAGTACCAATCTGAATTGTTTTTGAATAAAAGCCCCCGAACAAGCCTATCTGTCCTTTGCAATTTTGCCCCAAAAGCACAGAAGCAGTTTGAATTCTGAGCCTCTAAGGAAAATTTTGTTCAGGGCAAATTCTCCAAGTGTTGTTCCCAGAGCACTCTTGCCATATACTCCCACTTAGGACAAGTGCCACAGGACTGCTACGGTGTTTTATGTGCTCACATTAGGGGAATGAGCAGCAGTGTATACGCCAGCCCTACACAGGCTATGCAGACTCCCCACTGTCAGATAGTTGGTGTTGGAGCTACACTGGGGACCGACCAGCACTGTCCTGGTGAATGCAGTTGAGATGTCCCTCCTGCCCAAAGTCCCTAGTCCTCCAAAGCCATATAAAGTGGGTTTTCAGTTATAGATCTCTAATCCTGGTCGCTTTATTCAACCTACAGTCTCTACTATAGTCAGTGCTTGATTCTCTCCCCTTGGCCTTTGGGTATGCAGGGAAGGCAGCTGGAGATTTGAAAGTGTGCCAAGTAGGTGTCCAAGATTCTGTAACAATTAGGCTCTCTGTGCTAAAAGAGGGTGTGGAGCCATTTGCTGGTGTCCTGCTACCTAATTCCACCAGGTATGCTCATACAGAGGAAAAAATTGTAGCTTTCTTGAATTGAACATGTCTTGGCATCCAAAAGCCTGAGACATACACTGTTGTGTCAACTGAGGAGTATGACAGAAAATAGCTGGTATCACATCAAAGGGTATTCGGTTGCCCTTATGATGAAAGGACAAAATCAAATGCACTTCATTGTGGTAATTCATTGGCTTGAAGTTTGGTTTATCTGGAAGGTGGGAAGGAGTCCTTCATTCTAACTCTTAATCTTCATCTCATGGCACATATAGCCATAGTGTTGGAGAATGGAATAAATATGAATTTGCCTGAGATATACCCTGAGAGTCAGACTTCATTTTTGAAAATGCTTGATAATTATAGTGTATCCATAATATGTATATGATTCCTAGTAATTATGGTATATATGGCATATACCCAGAGGTGGCTGATAAATAACCATCACCTCTCTGGAGGAGGGGTCCCAATTTGCAGCACTTGCCAATTTCCATGGTATAAATGCTCCCACATGGCCAACTTCCATCTACCAATGGTTTAATAACTGGCATGCCAAATTTCGGAAAATTTAACAATCAGTTCTCACAAACCACTATAAGTGGGCTCCGGGACACCAAAATTCTTAAAAATCAGACTTGATTAGGTTACCATAAAGATCTCCAAAGAGAAAAATCTAGAGTGAAAACTTACTATATATTATTTATTTTTATTATAAATATACTGTTTAGGTAGGTTATATGAAAATGTGTGGATGTGGGCACCTGGGTGGCTCAGTTGGTTAAGCGACTGCCTTTGGCTCAGGTCATGATCCTGGAGTCCCGGGATCGAGTCCCGCATCGGGCTCCCTGCTCAGCGGGGAGTCTGCTTCTCCCTCTGACCCTCCCCCCTCTCATGTGCTCTCTCTCTCTCTCTCTCTCAAATAAATAAATAAAATCTTTAAAAAAAAAAAGAAAGAAAATGTGTGGATGTACAGTTACTGAAATATGAAAAGCTGCTAACAATATGCTATAAAATCACAGTAAAATATAATGACTTAACTGGATTGTCTATAGGTAACCTCAAGTAGGAAAATACTAGAGTAAAAAAAAAAGAAATGTAGACAAAGCCTCAGAAGAAAAACAAAAACTGTTTTTTGTGTGTTTCTTGTGTGTGTGTGTGTGTGTGTGTGTGTTTCAACACACTAACTGTTTCAGAAGATTACCTTAACAAGCTTAAAAGTCTTTAGTGGTCCCTGTATAAAATACTATGTTCATTCATGGTGTTTCTTTGAAAGAAAAATGGTATGTCTGCATGTAAACAATATGGGGACACTTTGTCCATGTTTATTCCTTACCTGGATTTCATCTTTCCCATGGAATAATAAAGTTCTAATTTAACTGTCACACCTAGAAACTAACACACCACACTGTTCCCCACTCTTCTCCTCCTTCCTCTTGCTGATCTGTTAACACTTGGGGGGAATGAATGAAGAGTAGCTTTGAAGTCCCAAGTGTGGATCTCTCTCTTTCCCTCTTACTCCTATGGAAACACTGATCTTAATTTCTCTTTATTGCATTCCATTCTTTCCCTCCTTCCTCATCATCTCAATAATATGGAAAGGAAGAACAGCTTTAAATATGTATTGTTTATTGAGTATAAATGTTGGCAATTTATGTCTTGTTCTTGAATTAAAAAAAATTAAAATACAAAGGTCAAGACTTCTAAATTTAGTAGGTTTTATTTTTATCAACAGGTCAGAGACTTTCCATAAAAAATAACACATTGAAATTTAACCTTTTAAGAAAAAAACAAGATGAAACAATATCTACATGGAAGGGATCCTTAAACAAAAAAATGCTGAAAAGAGAATGATAATGGGCAACAGTGAAAAGAGAATGAGACATGAAAGTAGCAAAATGCATAAAGAATCCAGTTATAGGCATCTATCTCCCATGGTTTAAATGTTTAAACTTAAATAAGGTAGGAATAAAAATTGTTATATCAATAATTTATAGTTCAGTACAGTAGATGGTAATATATTTCTCACACCTCACTTAGAATATAACTAATTGACCAGACCACCAAAGTCAGTTCCATGAACTTGCTGCAAATGTCCACATGAGGACATGTATGTCACTGTACGTCTGGGACCCAGCACGTACCTGACACTGTTGCATGAGCCAAAAGGGCCTCCAAAGAAATCAGAATACATTTAAAAGCATATTGTACAGTCAATTCTTCCCACTTCACAAGCTAAATCTCATGCTTTACTCCAAATATTTTATGAGTCTGTGACTTCACAGAAAATGAAGTGAATAATTGAGGCAAATCCTCCAACGATTCAACCCCATCCCCACCCCCAAAGTTTCCAATTTTCTTGATACTGCAAGTGAAAATGTTTGAGTTGACTGTCTCATCTTGAAAGTTACTTCAATTCTCCCTTCAGCTGGTACATACACATGGTTATAGAGACCTGCTCTAATGTCACATTAAGAAACTGATTATCTAGAGAGAATACTAAAGATTTAGTTGAAAACTTAGAGAAACATTTTAAGCTTTCCATTTGACATTGTCATTGTATCCTAAATTTTATATTAAAGATAAACACATAATTTCACAAATACTTTCATACTGTGCACCCAGGCCTCCAAAAACATTAGCTGGGAAATTTTTTAAGAATTAATTGTATTGGTTTCTTCACCATTTATAAAGCTGTGTATTGTATTATTATTGAGTAACGGAATAGCAATTACAAGTATTATGGTAACTAGTGCCTGGTTCATAGCAAAAAAAAAAAAAAACAACACATGCATGCGCACACACACACTAATTACAGAACTAATTATATGCTGATGTCCATTGTATATGCAATAAGATAGCAGTGGTATGTTAGCTGATGCCATTCATATATTCAACCAGCTAACAATACACTGCCAACCCATCACACACGGGTAACTAGTGCAGCTTGTTAACCAGAAGAATTTATCCAGAAGCAAGTGGCAGGGTAGTTGTGGCTGCCAGACTGACCCAAAGCAGCCAGCTAACAATACACTGCCTACCTGACTCAGGTCACTGCTGCTTGTAATGAACTGTGACGTCACTGAAGCTGCATTTGCAATGTGAAACAGTGGCAGAACTGTAATCTTAATAGTCACATAAAAGAAAACTTTAAACAAGCCTTGTTCCTCCAAAACTGTCATAAAATATAAAAACATTATTTTTAAATCTCCTCAAAAACTTAAAAAGCAAAACTTTCAGAATACTTGCACTTAGCTATTTTAAAGTCAATGCTTGGATATCAAAATATGGTATCACAGTACATGCGAATTAACAAAAGTTATACTTAACTGTAGCTTTTCCAATTACTTCTATTTACTGAGCAAAAGACCAGCTGTCTGTATTAGGCAGCAAAATATTTAGGAGTAGTCATGGCAATACATAAGCTGGGCAAAAAACAAAACTGCTGCTATTTTGGAGGGGGAAAATCAATATTAAAGTATTTAGGGAACTTAAGGACTTAAAATTGTCATTCATTGTCTCCCACTATAAATAACATTAGTCATTGCATTCTGAAAGGGCCATTCTGTGTTTATTTTGTCACCACTGAAATATTGAAAAATTTAAAGAAGATTAAGAAAAAATGTTGATGGGTTTGAAAATAGAATCCATGAGTAAAGTTTAAAGGAATAAGAACAATTTCGGGAGAGAGGGCAAGGTGAATGGTGATTATGAGAGATTTAAAGCATATGAGGGCTGTTTATGTGGGAAAAAGAAGAAAAACTTATCTAGATTTGTTTTCTTTTTACACTGATTACAGGAGAAGCTTTGGCCTTTGGCTTCAGACTTTCAACGAGAAAAAGTACTACATTGGATCAATTTCAAACTGCTAACCGGAAAGACAGACCATCGATTATGCCACTTCTCCGATTGTCCACAAGATGGCACCATTTCCATTTCTTTGGGGGGGGGGCAAGCTTTTAAATGCCACAGTGGCAAGTGCAACCAGCCACTGTTAAAATAAAATTGTAACAGCCAGCTAGCAATGCACTACCTACCTGACACATCCATGCTTCATCCTTTTCTGTTGAGGCAAAAACTAGAAAGCACCAGTGATATACAAATTATTACCATTGTCAGGGATCTTCAATTTCTTACAGATATGGGGGGTGAGGGGAGTGTATAGTTAGACTCTGTAGTTAGTGATATCTTAAGAGATTGATTTTTTTAATTTTCATATCCTCAGACCAGGCCATACTTCCAACAAATACCTTCTTTAGGAAGAATCATTTTGTTCAAGATCAGAAATAAGAGAACTAAAGCAAGCACCAGACGCTCACCCTGGGAGAACCTGGACTTCTCTTCTGCTTCAGGTCTTTGGCGAGCACCCGCATGACATTCTTCTTCGAAAATATAAAAAACATATGGAGAGAAAAACTTTTTATTTTTATTTTTTTAAGATTTTATTTATTTATTTATTTGACAGAAAGAGACACATCGAGGGAGGGAACACAAGCCGGGGGAGGGGCAGAGGGAGAAGCAGACTCCCCGCTGAGGAGGGAGCACGATGAGGCTCGATCCCAGGACCCTGGGATCATGACCGCTTAACGACTGAGCCACCCAGGCGCCCCGAGAAAAACTATTTTTAAAAATCATAATGTTACATGGGATGTTTCTAGGTCCTCAGCTTGTCCAACTGCATTTACTCTTTTTCTTTAGCAAGCAGATACCTCCAGAATACAACTAAATTACACATCTCAAAATGCAGGATCAGGGTTTAGAGTGTTGTGCCTCGTCTTGGTCCTGAACAGGTATTATAAATAGCGCCTTCGACGAGAAACCCGTGGGAAACAAAAGGACATCACTTACCCACAGCATCTCTTCTTCTGTCCGGACCCTCCTCCGGGCGGTGCGCTCCAGTTTCCACTCCATCTCCGGAGGACCTCCCCCTACCTGGAGTTTGGCCTCCCCTCGATCGGCTCTGGTTTTCCCCTCAGGTCTAAGCCGATCTTGACGCCTAATCGTCAAACGTCTAGAGTCTCACTCCGCCCCCCCACCATCATTTTTCACCCTTAACTTCCATTTCCCCCATTCCTCCCACTGCTCCTAGACTGCATTCCCCAGGGTACTGTTTAAAAACCCGGCGGGGCGGCATCCGGAGCGGGAATCCCCCTGTCCCGCTTCTCATTGGCCAGCGCTGCGGTGACGTCAGAGGCCGGGAGGGATTCCCCCCAGCGCGCCAGGCCTCCCGCCTCCACCTCCCAGCTGGCCTCCCTGCCCCGCCGCCGCCTGCTCTTTGTCCACGGAGGCGCGCACAGAAGCGCCAAGCTTTGCCGCGAGCCGTGGCGGGCCGGATCTGGGCCAGGCGCCGAGGGCTGTCACACCAGCAGGAGATGAGAGGGTTGGCGGGCGAAGAAGCGGGTTCTGTGAGTTCACGTTTTTTCCATTTTCAAGGGGGAAAAAAAAACGCTTCGTTATAACGGGGCCTTCTCTCCATTGGTAATGTTCACCATTTGTGTAAACCACTGATTTTAGACGTGTTCCCCCAATGTGTTCATCAGCTCTTGCTCCATTTTTCAAATAGGCAGGAAAACGTGGCCAGATTTCTGTGCTAATGAGAAGGGGGAGCGATCACATTGATTCAGTAAGTTGTTCTCCGCTGTAGCCATTTGAAAGTGGTCAGGTTCTCTCACTTGAGCTTCCGAGTTATCTTCCCCAACAAGAGGTTAGTGAGCGAGATGAAAGAGTTGGCGAGCGCTGGTGACAGAGAGCACCTCAGGAGGAGTGCAGAGCCAGCAGGAAAGCTGAGCAGACTGGGGGCTAAGTCTTAAAGGAGAGGATGATATTGGGGGTTAAGGGAGGGAGTTAAAGGGAAATGACAAGGAGCCAGATGGGCTGTTCAGCCTTAGCAGCCCCACCTGAGCTGCCACGAGAGGCTGGCTGTGCCATATGGCAGGAGGGCAAACTCTCTGGGACACCTCTGAAAGACTGGCAACCAGCTTTTCCCTCCCAGTAACCTCCTCCCTCCCTTCCCCCACTTGACACTGGATTGTTTTTGCTTTAATGCAACATGTGGGTTTGGGCATTTTCCTGGTGAAAGAATTCGTAGACATCAGATACTCAAATGGGTCAATGATTTAAAAACAACAACAACAACAAACTAAACTCACTCTCCTGTTTCCTTCTTACTGAAAGCAAGGAAAATTGACATCAAGGCTGAGACCCAATCTTGAACCAGTTTTCCATGTGCAGTGATAAAGGTTAGGGAAAATGCTGCACAGGGTAACAATCAAATGAGATTTATCAAAATGCTTGATAGCCAAAAAACCCATGGATTGAAAGATCTGTAAGTTTCACCCACAAGAATTTTAACTTCCTTGTAGTGCATTCAATTTCCAGTAAATCCTTTCAGCAAATATTGAGGCTAAATAAAGTGAAATATTGGCTGAGAGTCAAATGTATTGTTAATTTAAAGATCAGTTTTGCAAATGCCAGCTAAAATTAGCAGCATATTGGAAATAATATGGAAGACTTTTGGTTCTACTTCTAAGTATCATTTTACATGTACCATTTATGAGAACGGGCACAAACAGGAGTAATAAAAACCAATTCAATTAATGAAATTGGAAACCCATGTAAACTGTGATTTTAGAATCCATCTCCCTACAAGTACTAAGAATAGGTGAAATACTCTTTTAGAATTTAATTATCTGTAATACACTCATAAATTCCATTTTAGCTGCTAATTCCATAGCATATCACACAGCCTCCAAACGCCTTTTTTCCCCTAGGTTAAAACAGAAAAGTAAAAGCCAACTATTGTCCTTTTAAAAGTTATTGTGCATTTAAATATCCATATTGCAGTTTAACAGGAATGAAGGAAATAGAAAAATCACCATTGGCAAACCACCACAGTACTAACAGTTGCAGTCAAGGATCATGAATAGTAAAACTGGTGTACGTATGATGAGGGTGTTTGCCTCCTATGATCCAATACAAAAAGGAAAATCACAATTTTTCATTGGACAAACCTGGCAGCCACCGCCTCAACCAAGTAATAAATTAACCTCACCATTAATGATACATTGACATCCTGTGCCTCCTGATATGATGCACTGGGAAGGGCACAACATAAATTCTGTGATATCTTTGCCAAAAAACCAAACAAAAAACTGCATAACCTGAATTTAATAATGAGAAAGTACTAAACAAACCAAATTAAAGGACATTCACAAAAATAAATGGCCAGTAGTACTCTTCAAAAGTGTCATCATGACAAAAACAGAGAAACTATCACAGATCAGAAGTACCTATCTAAACATGACAAATGCATTGTGAGATCCTGGATTGAATCCTGGACCAGAGGGGGGAAAAGGAGATTTGTTGGATAATTGTAGATACTTGAATATTATCTATAAATTAGTTAACAGAGTAGTAGTAATGCTTATTTCATACTTATAATCATTGTGCTATGGTTGTATTAAATGTTAACATCTCATCTCGGGAAGCTGTGTGAAGGACATAATGGAATTATTTGTACCATTTTTGTAACATTTTTCTAAGTCAAGTTATGTCAAAATAAAACTTAAAAATGAAAAACATATGTTAATTAAATATGTTGTCATATGAATAGAAATATTATGGCACAACTGTTTGGGACGAAATAGAAATATCCTGTAAACATTTTATCTTAATTTTTATCAAATACGGTTTAGGAATAATGTTAATGTGTAGGTTTATATGCCTGTGAGTAATTTACTATCTTCAAAATGTTTCCTCTTTGTGAGTGGGTTTTGCAGGCAGATCTGTGATAAGGACAAGGGCTGTGAGGAAGAGTCCTCCGCCAAGGCCAAGGCCAATTCGATTTGCAGTAAGGTGAGGGGGACGAGAGGAGAAGCAGGGAGAAGGGAGAACAGGCGAACGTGAGAACACTTTTCTTGACTCCTATCTTGCCGGTGCTCTGAGAGTCTGAGCATGTCCCTACGGATGGGAAGCGAGAGGTATCCAAGCTTCCCAAATGCAGATTTTTTTTCAATTACATGATCACGTTTTCTGAATAATAATGTTACGTATCTCAAAAATACACCATGTACAAAGTCAGCTCCCTTCATCCGCCCTCCCAGCTTACTCCTTTCCCCAGAGCATCGTCAGACCATTTCCAACGCATTTACATAGTGTGTCCTCAGAGTTGGGCGCTGTGGCTCTTCCTACGTAAATGCGATCTCACTGTACTTAGCGTTTTGCAACTTGCTTTTTCTGCTTCACCGCATTCAGTTGCAAACCGAAGAGCTTCCGCATCCCCAGCTCCAACCGTCGGTTCTCACAAGGCTCGGAGCGCTGCGTCTCCCGGTGGGCTCGCGCCCCCAGCTGGCGCACACCGGCCCGCCCCGGGCTCGCGCCCCACCTCCCGCGCCAGCCGGCCCAGCTCCGGCGCCCGCATACTGGACAAAAGGGACCGTTGCTGTGCACTGTAACTGCCCCTGGCGCACGTGCCCCCCGGGCGGGAGTTGGGGGAAAGCGCCACTCCTGGCGGAATCAATACAGCTCCAGCCCACGTGCGACGGGGAAGACCGGGTGCAGGGGAAAGCTCAGGGTATCTATGCTGTGGGAGAGTCGGGAAGTTAGCCACGCAGTTTGGGGAAAGGAAGGGAAGGAGACCATTGTGTTCTGGACTGATAAACTGAGCATGTCTGCCCCCCAGAATATATAGTTCAAAATAGCGCATGGGAAGGAATGGATGAATCCTTTATAATTCAGACTATCAGCAGGACTCAAAAGACAACTTGTAAAGGTTCTAGCAAGTAAAAGCCTCAATCGGAAGAGTAGTCAACAAAATACCACCTCACCTCCGGTTACATTGACTTGTTACTTTTTTGGTTATAAGTAGTTTATGTACATGCATATTTTTCCATTACTACCTGGTTTCTAAATACAGGGTCTGTCTTTTAAAATATATTTCTTTAAAATAGATTTCTCTTAGGGGCGCCTGGGTGGCTCGGTCGTTAGGCGTCTGCCTTCGGCTCAGGTCATGGTCCCAGGGTCCTGGGATCAAGCCCCTCATCGGGCTCCCTGCTGGGCGGGAAGCCTGCTTCTCCCTCTCCCACTTCCCCTGCTTGTGTTCCCTCTTTCGCTGTGTCTCTCTCTGTCAAATAAATAAATAAAATCTTTAAAAAAAAATAAAAATAAATTTTAAAAAACATGTTTTAAAATATATTTCTCTTTAAGATTTTTTTTAAAAATAACATATTTCTCCATCCATTTTACCCAAGATGAAGGGTAAAATTTGCCCAGCTTAAAGCATGAAATCAGAAGATCACTTCACCTTCAACTATTTAGCTGCTTTAATGCATTTTTCCCTTGCTGCTTAGGGTAGCTCTTGCCTAGGATGTTAAGATACTTCCCCACGATTTTAAGGAATGTAAGGAAAATATCAAACTGAAATCATTACAAATCTGTATAAAACCATGGATGAAGTCAGGCATAAGAACATGGTGCCCCCTCAAAGAAATAAAGGCTCATGAATGTTTGGAAATCCTTTTACTAGATATCTTCAAACACAACACAATCCAAAACAGAATTGAGAATCTTTCCTTATTCCTATTCTCCCCAAACCATGTTTTCACCCTATTCCCAATATCCCCGCCTTCCTGGTGGAACAGGGTCAAAGTCAGCCTTCTTTAACGCTTTCTCTTCCCATAAGCCCAAACCCAGATATCAAGGACAGTCATTTTCACCTCTGTAGTGTTGATTGCATCTGCCCTCTTCTTGAACTATTTCAGTAACCTAATTGATAATCCAATATCTAGTCTATTCCCCTTGAATCCATTCATTTAACATGTTTATTTGCACAGAGCAAGTTCCATGCACCATGTAAAGCAGGGAAGATCCAGTAATAAAGCAGTAAAAGGCTATGCGCAATATCTTTAGCTAAT